TCTCACACGGCTCCGGGGGGTGAACAAAGGCCTCCTGTAGCGAATTTATGTGTTTTTGTAAGAAAAATATCCATATTCAAACCGTAATAATCACTTTAATGTAGCTTGCGCCAACAGTTGTACTCTGAAGCAGTTCCGGGGGAATGACGTAAGAGGTCAGCTTTGCGCATGCGCCTTTCAGAAGTGACGAATGCGGAAACACAGCGCAGAGATCAAAACAAAACAACGGTCACTTATTAGAAGTACAAAACGAGGATTTGTAAAGAAGAATGTCGGAAAGATCAAAGACAATTTTTTATATAACTCCGACTGGATTCGTCTGAAAGAAGAAAGTCATATACACCTAGGATGACTTGAGGGTGAGTAATTTATGGGCTAATTTTCATTTTTGGGTGAACTAACCCTTTAAACAAGGTTTAGATTGCACTGTAAAGTGTAAAAACAATAATCAAGCCATTGGCGCCCTCTGCAGGCATATGATATAATGCATAATGTACATAAGTTATGATTATATTGTTTAATTACATTATGTAATTTAACGGTTTTGTTCAATAAAATCGTATTAGTACTTGCTTTTGATAATTTATTTGAACCAATTATTATTGTCTCATTACTATTATGTATTTTAAGTCATTTTAAAGCCTGTTGTTTGCTTAGGTCTATTTTTATTACCAAACACAAAAAAAGTTCTGACTACTCGATTAATCGTCAGAATAATCGACGATTACTCGACTATAAAAATTAATTGTTAGTGAAAGCCCTACTTAAATGAATTACCATTTATTTACATAAAACATAGAATTAGATATAATATTTTATTAATTAAATAAGTTTATTCATGTATTTTAGTTCAAATAAATCTAAATTGTAATAGTTTAATAGATCAAGTTTCTAACAGATAAATTTGTTCACATGCTTCGATTCTGGAAGTGGACTGTCACACCTTTGGAGTGGATCTTGCTTCAGGATTATAGGTAATTGTTTCTCCAGGAATTCAGTGTTTCTTTTTCTTTCTTTTTTTTTTTTTTGGTAATAGTTATAATGAGCCTTACTTATGACTGACTCATATATATATATATATGTTTATGGTAGGTCTGTCTTGGAAATTTTATTTTGAATATAAGGATTAATTTCTTTATAGAGAAAATGAATAGGAGATCCAAGCAAGAGTTTTTTTTAAGTACTTAAGTAGAATAAAAGCAAATGTGTCCCTTTCTGACTTTCATCAAGCTTTAACACATAACCTCCTTTTATATGGCTGAAATGTTGTACTATATCAGTGGGCTCTGTACAACAATGCTTGCACAGCCCTGGGCTGTAAGAAAAGTACATGGTTGAGTGCCTAGAGCGACGGCCCAAGAATCAAGAGGTTGTTAGTTCTAATCCCCTCGTGGGTATCGCTGTCACGACGCCCTCCGGCGATCCATTTAACCTCAATTGCTTCAATTCATATCCAGCTGTTAACACCTAACATGTGGCACTTTTTAGACAAGAGCGCTTCTTAAATGACAAGCCTGTATTTAAATGGGCTGACTGCTGGGATCTTGATAAAACAATCCTCAAAAATTTAAAAAAGCAGTAAAGGATGAGATCTGTGCCCGAATAACAGCGTGACTGAGTAGATAAGTGAACAGAGCTTTATCATACAAAAGCAGCCTCTTAAAAACTCAGCATGACCCTGCTGAACCTCCTGTTCCCTGCTTCACTGTTCCTTTTGGCTCATCACTTTTCCTGACAGTACGGAGCGCTGCGCTGGATTTGCATAACAACAGGACAAAAATTGCAGGGTGATGAAGTGACAGATTGGAATTTGTGGGCTAAAACAAGCTGGCTGTGTCTGTTTGAGTGTATGTGCGTGTGTGTGTGGAGACTGAAGTGAACTGTGTTGCTGTAGGTCGGCCTGCATTGTATATTTCCATATGCATACCATTACTCTCCATACTTGAGGTCCTAGTTATTGTCAAAACACTGTAGGAATACTCGTTGGGTAAAGGTGAGGGATTTTTTCTACTGAAATTCACAGTTTAAGATGCAACTGTAAGTGGGCATTTGTAGGTTCATTTCCATCTGTACAGTCTCTGTGGGTTCGTGGGATTTGTTGCCAAGGCTGCATTTAATAGATCAAAAATATAGTAATATTACAACTTAAAATAAATGTTTGTAAAATAAGTTATTCCTGTAATGCAAAGCTGAAGTTTCAGCAGTCATTACTTCAGTCTTCAGTGTCACAGGATTCTTCAGAAATCATTTTAATATGATGATTTGGTGCTTAAGAAACATTTCTTCTTATTAGCAGTGTTGAAAACAGTTGTGCTGCTTAATGTTGTGTAATGATTAATAGGAAGTCTTTTGATTAATAGATGTAGGAAAACAGCATTTATTTGAAATAGAAATATTTTGTAATATTATAAATGTCTTTACTGTCACTTTTGATCAATTTAATGCATCCTTGCTAAATAAAAGTATTAATTTATTTAAAAAAAAAACATCTTACAGTGGCAAGTGTTTAAGAAATTTGTATGAATTAGTCAATATAATTGCAACTGTTTGGTGGTGCTAGTGGGATAGAAATGATATATTTCAACTTCAAAAGTGATTTGTGTGTTTTTAATTTAAAAAAAATTCATTTAAAATATGTTCTGCATATTAAAGGGTTAGTTCACCCAAAAATGAAAATTCTGTCATTAATTACTCACCCTCATGTCGTTTCAAACCCGTAAGACCTTCGTTCATCTTTGGAACACAAATTAAGATATTTTTGTTAAAATCTGAGAGCTCTCTGACCCTCTAATAGACAGCAACTAATAATACAACTGCAATGTTCCCAGGTCCAGAAACGTAGCAAGGACATCGGTAAAATTGTCCATGTGACATCAGTGGTTCAACCGTAATTTTACGAAGCTATGAGAATACATTTTGTGCGCAAAGAAAACAATAATAACATAATTTATTCAACAATTCTTCTCCCCAAGTTACCGTCTTCCGCCATTTTGGAGAGTATCCACTCAACGTAATCAGCGTTGTTTATGTTCAGCATGCTCGCGCCGTCTACTGAACGTAAAAAAATAATATGCTGCATATTAATTTTATTAATATTTGTTTTATTAATTTTATTAACTGCTTTTCACTTCAGTAATATTTTAGTGGCATTTGTGTACCCATGTTTTCTTGGGAAAGTTCTTAACTATGTTGACCATTCATACAAACAAAAACTTAATGTTCGGATTAAACTGATATAATTCATACTTTCTAGGGAAAGTATAAATACTGTTGTGTTTTTTTAAGTTTACTGACACAGCAAAAATTGCTCAACCAATAAAGTTTTGGGTGGGATTGTTTAGATCCTGGCAAGTGTTCAAGAAATGGTCAATTTTAGCAATTTCGCTAATGGCATGAAATCTAGCACTTTATCTACTTTATCTAAGTACTATGAAGAAATGGAGAGGAACATCAGTACTGCTGTGAGTCATGGGAATTTGGGAGTTTGCCTGACTGCCTGTGGCCAGTGCTGACTCCCACATGCACACAGCTGTGATGATGGTACCCTCATTCTCTCTCTCTGTGTCTCTCTCTCTCGGTTCTAGATGATTAGTATCGCCAGTGCAAACAGGCCCTATCGGTATCAGCCCATTAGCTAGCCTCTAAACAGCGCGTAAACACATCTTAATTATCTGGCTTGGTGACAGAGCAGCTGTGGAGGTGGACCCTCTCCCCTCAGCCAGATGGGAGCATCGCCCAGTAAAAAACCTCCATTACGGTAGCAAAGCTGCGGCGTATCCACGACTGGAGCCCGCCGAGTTCACGCCGGGCACTCGCCGCACACCTATAATTTCCCAGCATGCTTTCGCAGGGAACCGTGAAAAAAAAGCCTACTATAGTGGGGGCCTCTGTAATTGTAGTCTCGTTTAGAAATGCAAGTAGTAATTAGCGGCGAATTGGCATTATACGGCAGCATTTGCATCCCCGCTGGGTGTAAAATGTTGTTTTAATAGCGGTTTGTTTTCCCCACATGAAATTATCTAAGGGGGCTTTTATCACCTCTTCCCCTCTCTCGCACTCTCTCATCTGGCGCCGGCCCATCAGGGAACGGCTAAGCGCACAGATATACACAAAATCTCCACAAGTCTGTGGAACAGTCAACAAGACGGTTAAACCTTTGTTTGCACTTGCGATTTATGAAACTGAGCCCTGAGTACCAAGTAACCACTATATACATGTTGCGTACCATGTAACTAGTTGCATGTAGAGGATTCAAGCATTAATTTGTAAAATTTCATTATTTTATAATTGTCAACCCATTCCAAAACTTGTTGAATTAAAAAAACAAACAAAATCTACATAATCGAGTTGACTCGATTTTAAGTAGTGAGTCATTGTTGGATAACTGGACAAAATGTATGACCACTGCTAGGCCATCACTGATATTTTGGCTAATCTATCTTTCGCTCTTTTTCTCAATCTCTGGTGATGTCATACAGAGGCGATAGACATGCTGAAGGAGATGAAGGAGAAGGATGTGCAGTTAAGGGACAGCACAATCGGTTTGCTCACCCTCACGATGAACACAGCTGCGATGAAAGGAGATGCCAACACTATTCGACGCCTCCAGGAGACAATCTTCACTTTGGGCCTGGCCAAACCATCCAGTAACCTCTGCTCACCCCTTATCGCTTGCTATCTGGAGAGGTGAGTTGGTAAAACTTTGGAAACTTGCCAGACTTTGTGCTGTTCTTGTCTGTGTGTAGCACCTACAGCTCTGCACACCCTTTTGAAGGATCCCAGCATTAGAACAGAATGCCTGACATTTTATTTTTAACAATGTTGCTGTTTAAAGATTATTTTTTTGGCATGTTTAACCTTTATTTGGATAGGACATTTCATTAACAGAAAGCGAAGTGGGAAAGAGAGAGGGGGGCGGTATCGGGAAAGGTTCACAAGCCAGGACTCGAACTCGGGACTCTATATGTCGGCACACTGCCACGAGGCTATCGGCGCCAACAACAATGTTGCTGCTTAACCCTCCTGTTGCATTTGGGTCAGTTTTGAAGCAGAAGGGGTGCATCAGCAGAAAAGTGTCTTTGTTACACATTACATGTACTTGCTATAATAATAAAATTGAGTTATGCATAATTACAAGCAACTACCCGGAGCACTCAAGGGCAACTTAAAATAGTGTTTCAGAAAAAAATCCCCAAAATGTAAAGTTTTAGTATAGAAAAAAACATTAATAATGTGTCAAGACTATCATTTATTTAACAAAACTGGTGTCATAATAACATGGTAATATCACAAATTTAAAAAACATTAAAATCTTTGCACATTCAAATTTCGTTGCAAAATTAATAATCAGATACAATAAGGTTTTAAATATAAATTTAAAGAGCAGGTCATATGGTATTTTAAAGTGTCCTAATATTGTGTTGGAGTCCCTTACAACAGGTTTAAATGCATCTAAGGTCAGAAAACATTGTAATTTTCTCAGAATATACATTTAATATTAGAGTAATTTGCCAATGATTTCGAAACGATTCGTTCCAAGCAAGTTCGGAGCAAACCCCTCCCTTCCATAAGCCCAGTGTTCAAACTATACCGTGGACTTTGGGGGAGCCCACTGGGTTTTTT